TATACTCTGCCCATTTACCCTAACTACTTTGTCCACCCAAGACCAGGACTACAAATTATATATTACATATATCATATATATGTAGTTGATCAACCTGTGTATCTTTTGCCCTACCCTATACCACTTCTCTTGTTTGTATCCCACCAGGCTCTACGTTTATTTGGTAAGGTATATTATCCAAGTCTCATTGCATCTTTGGCACAATCGTTTTTTAGAATAGAGTAGAGTACAGCAGTTGGGACGAAGCTGAGGAGTGAGAGGTCGTTATATTATACGTAGAGGTCCCCCCCCCACATATATATATATATCACAACTTTTGGTGTCTATATAACGTTGTACAACCTCTTCAATGGTTCTTGGCGATTTGTGGGGACCTGCGATGCTTTGCGCTGACTGCTATTTGTATTGATTCTGGCAGCATGTCCAGTTTTCAGGCGCGCCTGCCTGACAGGTTTCGGGTGGGGATTCTTCCCCTGGCTGGACACCGATATCTCCAGCCACACAGCGCTTTGTATTGGCTTCCACAATTTCAAAGGCCAAGAAGTTGAAGTGGTGAGTAGCTCTTAGGTTGGAGCCCATCGCTAGTAGGTTGGAGGCCATCGCTTCTAGGTTGGAGACTTGAATTCGTTGCCAGAATTCTGACTGGATGGTGCCCGCGATGGCAGGGCTGCTGGAGGGATTTGGTGGCCTCCGGCTCTATGCAATATAAGTGGTTCAATACTGCACACTCTGTGGGCTTTTTCTAGCCAATTGACGAGATTGTGTGCGCACATGTCTATACTCTACAGCCAGAACAATTGAACAGACCCAAATTGCATGTCCCACACCTATAATTGAAAACTGTTTTCCAGGATGTGGGTACTTGTAGTGAGTTCTGTTAAGATCTTCGACACTGTATATGTGTGCACTACATGAATGTATGTACATTTGAGTCGGGCACGCCAGCCATAGATACAAGGAGCCAACATAACTTTTTAAAGCAACAAAAAAGCAAAATTATCCCGGCGAGAGACCCCAAACAGTGTAGAGTGTATATCAAACGTACTTAGGGATCAAGGGATGCGCGCAGGGGAGGCGGAAGTAGAGAGAGTAGCACCCGCGAGCACGAAGTAGTAAGAAGTAGAAGGTGAGGCTCGAAGCCGAATAGAGTAGGAGGAAGTGATAGGAGGAGGAGGTGAAGCACCCGCGAGCACCAAGGAGGAGAAAGTAAAAGTGCAAGTCCGAAATGTCCAAACGCAGCGTCCTGCAAGCGCACATCTTTTTCCCGGCATGGCGTGTGGGACGAAACTGTGTCGCGGAGCCGCAGACAGAGTATGTTGCTGCACGAGACTGCAAGCGCGCATCTTTTTCCGGGCATGGCGCGCGGGACGAAACTGTGTCGCGGAATCGCAGACAGAGCATGTCAGTCAAGCAGGAAGGGTGTCACGCAGATGTTTGAGAATGCGCTTCCAGTTGCCGTAGGTCGCCACGGACATAGCCAGTTGCTTATGTCCGAACCGTCGATACCAGAACACGCGATGTACTTTGCGCAGCTGTGCAGGAGTGAGGTTGTCCCCCTTGTGGGCGTAGTAGCGTCGGTTCCATTCTCGACTGATGGAGTCCAGTGCGCGGAGATCGTCGTCAATATCGATGACACAAGTCTCTGGGACAGTCGGAAAGTGGCAGAAGAACTCAGCACGAAGAGCAAAGCTCGCACAGACCTGTGCAAGGTCCTAGGTTTGCAGGAGCTGTAGTAGTCTGGGCAAGAGTGTGTCGTTGTTGGTGATTCGCATTCGAGAGAACCACGTACGGAGAAATTGTACGGTCAGATAGCAATGTCCACAGCGCTCTGCCCAGATAGCGTCGCTGTCGAAGCCATAATAAGTTAAGCGTCGAACTCGGCGCGGGTGTAGTAGGCACCGTCCAAAGCCAGCGCACAAGGAACCTGTAGCGGATACCCGACCTGAAGGATAGCTGGGAAGTCTGTGACAGGATGCAGATGGAAGATGCCTGCAGTGAGCGTCTCTGGCGACCGGTCGTTGCGCGGAGAACGGGTGCGAGAGCGGTGTCTGTTGGAAGTCCGTCTTCTCGTCTTCTCGGTGAACCGCGAGAGTCCGAGGAGCTCGACATGGAGAGAAGCCGCGGACCCGCAAGCCAGAGAACGGGAGAGGAACGGCAATGGTGAGCTGTGCGCAACAACGCGCAGGTGTCTGGAGCCAACAGCTGCGGATGCAACCCAAAAATAGAAAGCGAGTAACACACACACATATCCACCAGGTTGTCAGATGGAAACGAGGAGGGAGAACGAAGCGCCTACGCTCTTGTTTCCTTGTGGCAGAAGATTGTCGACGGAGAATGTGTGAGCAGGAGAGGAAGAAGAAAGCAGCTCGATCCCAGTGGAGCTTCAGCGCTCCCAGAGCCCAGCGTTGCGGAACCGCGGATGTGGTATATGTCATGTATATGCATGGTGCGTAGCCGCGACCGGTGGAGAGGAAGAAGAAAGCAGCTCGATCCCAGTGGAGCGTCCGCGCTCCCAGAGCCCAGCATCGCGGAACCGCAGATGTGGTACATGTCATGTATATACATGGTGCGTACCCGCGACCGGTGGAAGCCCATGAAGGCAGACAATGTCCACGGTTGCTGTTCCAGCGTGGAATAGCGGTTCAAGGCCCCCAGAGGACAACAGCGCGGAACCGCGGATATGGCGTGTGCGTGGTGCGTATCCGCGACCGGGTGCCAGTTAGGTTTGGAGAGCTATTGAAGAGACCACATGCGCTGGTAAAATCAAATCGAATAAGAGCGGAAACGTTCACGGTGAGCACTTGGATGTCCAGCGAGCAAAATGCCAAGCGTGACGACAGCCATGAGCGCTCAATGGGATCAACCGAAGATCACATATCTGAGAACGCAATGACTAGTGATGTGTGTGCTACAAGACATGTTGAAGATGACTGTTTTCTGTTGTCCTGTCATGCACTGCTGTTTGCCGTTTCGTGTCAGAACTTCAAATTTAGAAACAAGACGCAGCAATTGAAACAGAAAATGTTTACGCAAGTAGAGATTACCAGAAACGGTTGAGCGCACAGTCACCAAAGCACACGCCAAGTAAGCGAGCGAGTGAGTGAGAGTGCATGAGTGTGAGCATTGCCCACAGTGACCAGAGCGCACCTGGTGGAATGACGCCAGGAGACAGAGGTCTACGTGTTGGGGCAACGGTTCAGAGAGCACAGTGTGACAGTGAATGCGAGCTTGAGTGAAAGGAAGAGTGCTTGTGAATGAGAGTGAGTGTGGGCACTATGAGTGCGAATGAGAGAGCAGAAGACCAAGGAGCGCACGCGTCTGAGAACGCAGTCACCAGAGCATGCAGCAAGGTAGAAAATGAGTGAGTGAGTGAGTGAGTGGAAGTGCATGAGTGTGAGCGTTACTGGAACCACGCTAGCAGACAGAGGTCTACATGTCGGGACAAGGGTTCAGAGAGCACAGATCTGCAAGCTAGACGATCACACATCTGAGAACGCAGTCGCCAGAGCACGCAGCAAGTGAGCGAATCAGTGGGCGAGGGAGAATGAGCGAGAATGTGAGTGAATGCGAGCGTGAGTGAAAGAGAGAAATGCTTGTGAACGAGAGTGAGTGTCGGCGTTATGAGTGTGAATGAGAGGGCAGAAGACCAAGGAGAGCACACATCTGAGAGCACAGTCACCAGAGCACGCGACAAGTGAGCGAATTCACAGAAGTGCTGTGCCTGTCACGAACTCTGCACGTCGCGGTTCACAAAGTGCTGTATGTGCCACCAGATCTGCGCGTCGACGTTCGCAAAGTGCTGTGCCTGTCA